GGGCTTGAACTTGATGTCTATAAAACAGCACAGGGTTCTGAGTGAGCTTGGCCTCCAAGAGGGGAGTAGATTTCATAGCATTTCCCTGTTGTCTCAGTAGAATCACTGCCTGATGAGTGCCAGTAAACAGGTACTAATTCCATCATGGTTCCATATTAGTTTTCTGATTCCTAATATCTTCAAATATTTGCAGGGAGTTACATTCCGAATTTAGTTGGACCTCCAAGTTGCATCTGTATCACCTGTATCGCTTGTTGATGTCTCCTGAAGCGTCTGGAGCACATGGCTTCCCCAGGAGCATCATACTTCTGAGCCACACTCAAGACAGTTATACTTTTCATACCCACCTCTATCTGACCAAGGTAAACTTTCTTAAAGAAAAACGGTGCCAGGTGGAGATTGAACTTGATGAAAAAAATGGTCAGTCATTCCCAAAAGTACAGTTAAATCCACATATAAAGAGTTTATAATAGTTATACATGTGCTATGCCTATTTTGACATGGTTTCTAAAATGATGAAAATTAACCAGAATATTGTAGATCTGTCTGTACACAAACAAGTTTGATTTGCAAGGCAAAACAATAATCATGCTTTTGTTTTCTTATACTGACCAATAGTTTGATTGATTACACTGAATGAACCAGTGATATTTGTGCTGTTTTGTCTGTGGGCACAGGGTACACTGAACCATGCCAGCACAGGTAGGCAGAGAATGTGGTTGCTGTCACTTTTTATTTGTTCTAGTCAGTATTGTCCATATTTAGAACATTAATAGCACAAAGTTCCTCACTGTGAAGCTTTCACATTCAGAATTTCAATTAAAAAAATGCAGTGGCTTTTTAAATGATCTATATGGACAATCTAACATAGTTAACCGTATACGAAGAACATCCTATAATTGTGTCCCTTCTTCCACCCCCTTGCATTTTAATAACAAGCGTGTCTTTGCTTTCTTCCAATGCTACTTGAAATAATCAATCTGAGCCATAAAAAAATACGAGAGGTTCACCTAAAAAAAAAAGTTTGGCAAGTTTCGAGTGAAAACAGAATTATAAAAGAAAGCACTACGCATGCCTGCACTGCTGAGAGCGACCTCATGTTTTCATAGCCGCCCAGGGCTCATGCGTGAGGAGGGCCCATCTTGGATTCTGTGTGGCTCTAGATAACTTTGTTTTCTTCTTCCCTGTGTCTCAAGGCCCAAGAGACAACATTAGCCCTTCTGGCTCTAGATCTTGCTATTTATCTTTTTTGAGGGGGGGCTTTCTTCTGTTTCAATCCTCATATTTTATTCTTTCTGTATGAACAAAGCTAAATTCACTATTAAAAACTGAGGGAGTGAGAGCTCATTACCACTTTTGAACACCTGTTGTGGGTCAGGCACTGTAGGTGCTTTGTATGCTTTATATCTAATAAAACTCTGTGAGCAGGGTATTGATATTCACATTTTATAGTTGTGGAAACTGAGTCTCAGAGACTAAGGAAAATGCTGAGGTTATATAGCCAGTAAGTGATAAAGTTGCCAGAAGACCTTAGGACTGTCGCCTTCCAAAACCTTCCTTTAACCGTGCTGAGATTGCCCGCCCCTTCTAGCTTAGCATGGGTTTCCATCCCAGGCATGGGATACTAATCTTCCAATGATGACTAGGGGACTTCTGTCTTTAGCTAAAGATTAAGTTTCTTCTTTCATTTTGCTACCTTTCTTTGGCCAGCCTGTCTGGAAACTATAGCTCTAACTGGGAACCCACTAGACAGTGCATTCCTGTCTGACTTCAGATGCTCTGCTCTTTGCAATCTGCCACACTTTGTCAGCGTGATTGATCAGTTATCACCCATTCACCAAATGCTAGAGGCTGCAGCAAAGTTTGAACTTTAAAGGCTGAGTTTCTTGAAGTGCTTTCAAACTTATAATTGAAATTTTCTGATTTACCTTAAATATATCTCAGATTCTCTTTTCTAAGCTGTCCTTCCTGAGACCAGTATCAGTCAGAATATAGTTAGAAGAAACAAAAATCTAGCCATTTGAAGCAGAAAATAATTCAAAACGAGGAAGAAATAGCCTCTAGGCAGGTCCTCCAGGAATGACCCTCAGCAACAATGAGGAGCTCTCTCCAATCAGAGGAGCTGCTCCTTGACTGTGATCAAGGGGGTAAGAATCATAAGGCCACTACACTGCCTTTGCGAGTGTGCTGGACAACCCCACCCACGGCAGCAACTAGGCTCTGGGGCACTACCTCAGACAGACCCAACATTTATGGCTGTGATGGTTCCCAGAAAACAGCAATAAAGTACATCATTGACTTCTGACCCACTTCTATCTTCTGGACAGAGCATGAGTGGATCGCATTGGAAAACTAAAAACTGTATTTCAAACACCCTTGTATCTAGGGTTCTAAACATCAGCCAGATTCACCAATCTCTGCCACACAGAAACATTCTACAAAACAAATGGACTAGAGGACCAGTAAATCTATCCTCCTCATTAAACAGAGGGGCGTATGGTAAACACTGACTTTCTTTTGTATTAAAGTGCGAGAATTTCTGGCAAGGAGTTATAATAATGCCAACAACAATAAACCAATAAAACTGAATTATTTGGATGATTGGTGTCTTGCCCTACTGAGTGTATATAATATGCTTCATTGATGATCGTATTTGATGAAGGGCTTTCCTTTATCAAATGCATAAATACCCTCTTAACTGGAGATCTGTCTTAAATATTCTGTGACTGTAGCTGCACATGAACTTCATTTCTTTAATATAGTTTTTCTCTGATTCAAGCTGGTTTTGCCCAGATAATGTCATTGTGTCTCACTTTCTTCTGCCTCCCCCTCTCCCCTTATCCTCTGTGTGCTCCTTTAATCATTGAGCTTTAGGACATAAGATTAATGGAGCTTCAGGTCTATAATCAGGACAATAGGGTTTGGTTGGACTTTAGACCAAGGATAACATCTTGACTTTAGATGTATTTCAGCCAATGGACCAGATGGGATGGCAACATGGCTGATTCCAGAACAGGACACAATATTCAATTACCTAATCCCCTTCCAATCATTCAGTCATAACCCCAACTCTTAGTTTCCATCACTGATATTTCTCTATTTCATCTGTACTCCTGAGACACCCTTTGACACCCGTACTCCTGAGACAGGCCTTTGAGCGAGAGCTTACCTGTGTCTCTGGGACTTGAAGTTTTTAATAAATCTTACTTTCTTTGCTGCAAAACCTGCACATCTCTCTTCTTCAGCCTAGATGTATCAAGGCGGACAGAACCTTTTTTTGTCCTAACAATTCCATGTAGAGGGGCTCAATGTGTTAACATAAGGTCTACGATCCTTATGGTATAGAGAGACTGGAAGAAAAAGGAGAGAGATCACGTTGTCAAATGCCAGACCTGTATTATATTTCAGATTAAACTGAAAAAACCACCACTATACAGGGAACTTAAAACTAATTCAAAGGTAGCTTATCAAATATGGAGAATAGTGGGGTCACCAAGCAACAACGAGACCAAAGGCTAAGGTTTATTAAAGAAAACGTTTCTAGATTTCAGAAATAGTAATTAATATTAATGATCTAATTCAAATTGATAATTTACATATAAAATTTTCAAGATTTTAAATGACACTGTGTCCCTTAACCAATTTATTGCTAGAAACGAGTTATTAAAAGAATAACAAGATACATTTACCCCCACAAGTGAGATTTTTTTCTATGAATAGTTATTAATTGGGTTGTAAACTAGTTACCTCAAAACACTTTATCAAAAACATTTACATATAATAAAACAGTGCAAAAAACAAATCATTAATCTCTGAAGAAAGATGTATTTTGGTTCCTTTAAATCAATCTATCTTTCTTGTCTACTGTTTCTGTTGGGTGGCAGGAGAGAAGAGAAAGTTGCTAAAGCTATTCTGCCATATTTTTCCAAGCCATTTTAAATAGGTTTTCATTTTTTAGTTCTTAAATAACCACAAATTTTTAATTTCATTTCCTATTAGGCTATTTGGTTCAAGAACTTGAGTCCTGGGAGTTCTGGTTCAAGATGGCAACACAGGAGAATCCTGAGCTAACCTCCTCCCAGGAACGCACCAAATCTACAGCTACATACAGAACAATGGCCTCTGAAAGCAAAAGAAAATCTAGCTGAGCAACTTTTACAAATCAGGTGTATGAGGAAAAACCTACATGGAAGCGGGTAAGAGAGGCAGAGACACAATCTTGCCATAAACCTCACCCCAGACAAGTGATCTACAACTGGAAGGGAACTTAAAACTCTGAGCTTCTCCCTGAAGAATGAAGGGTTTGAACCCTACATCAGATACCTTAACTTTTAAGTTCTGCCCCTGAGAGATGAACCCACAAAACATCTAGCTTTGAAAGCCAATAGGGCTTATGTCCAGGAGACACACAGGATATAGTGAACTGAGAAATAGTTCTTAAAGGGCTAATGTACATAGACACACCTGCTCCAGAGCCTAGCACAAAGGCAATCAACTGAAAAGAACCCAGATTTTCTGTGAAAGAGACTCACTTGCTTGTCTTAAAGCATCCGCCTTGAGGGCTAGTCATCTAATTTAATATACTTCTAGGGGCCCACTGAAATACTCTCCAAAGATAGAGGCCAGTAGGCACTGTAACCATGTAAATCTTTGCTTCTTTAAAATGTTTTTTTCTTCTCTTTCTCCTTGATTCAAACTGGCCTTGGGCTCACTTGCTTCTTCTCTTTCCTTATCCTTCTGCTTACTGCATGCCCACTCCCTTATCAAGTCCTTAGGTCAGGATCAAATCTTCTTTGACACATAGCCTCAGGTCTATTGACCACAGAAACAGAATTTAGGTCAAACTAAAGATAACATCTTGAAGCTCTATACCCATGAAGGCGACCTAACCTATGGACATCCCCTTGAAACCATAACATGCCATGACTGACATCAGAACCTGATGCAATGATGAACTACCTCCTACTCTAGCCTGACCAATCAGGAGAGTCCACAACCCCAAATCCCTTAGCTACTAATGAGTATTTACAATATATGCCCTAGAGGCCATCAGGGAGCCAGGTCTTTGAGTGCTACCTCACCTGTGTCTCTGAACTTCACACCACTTCCTTAAATAAATCTTTTTCTTTGCTGCAAACTCCTGTCTGTGTCTCTTTTGGCTTTGCCGTGTACAGGCAAAATGAACCTCTTGAGTTCAGTAACAGTACTATATTTGTGTTTTTCCTCTGCCTTGCTTCAGATTGCTCATATCTCCTGGAAAGGAGCTTACACAGTGTGGCTTATGCTCATGGGTCCTGCAGGGCTCTAACAAACAGAGAAAGAGTTTTTAACTGGCTACCACCCACAGGAAACAGCAGAGAGGCAATAGACTAAAGTGCCAGCCTCTCTGTGAAAGAGACCTAATAGCTTATCTTCATAGCTGTGGTCTGAAGGGTAAGCTTCTGTGGAGGAGAGACTGTCCCATGACGTGACCATTGCTGCACATGCAAACCAGATCCAGGCAAGAACAAAGATTGCATCCCATAAATCCCCTCAGAGACTATCCAATTGAACCCTCCCCTATGCTGCAAGCATGCTGGTTCCTGGAACAGAATATTGTCCTGCCCCAGGCAAGCATATAAGGCATTTTCCTCTTTCTTGGACTGGACATGCCCCAGTACTTCCATGCATCCTGACCTGTACCTTTATAATTCTTTAGTGCCTGCCAATTGGTGTGAAGGATATCCACTTTATCTTGCTACTGTCCAAGATGTGCCTCATATGTAACTTTCCCTTAATAAGCTGTTAGCTGCCAGACTGGAGTGGCCTGAAAAATATAATAGAGGGGTCGATAGCACATTAGATGATGCAGAAGAAAGCATCTTTGAATTCAAAGACAGGGCAGTGTAATTCAACCTTCGGAGAAGCAAAAAGAAAAAATAATTTTAGAGTAAAGTTTGCTTAAGAAACATATAAGATGACATCGAGTAGACCATTCGCATTATACAGTTCCCTGAAGGAGAGAGAAAGGGGAAAAATATATTCGAAGAAATAGTGGGTGAAAACTTCTCTAACCTGGGGAAGGAAACAGACATTCAGGTCCAGGAAGCTCAGAGAGTTCCAAATAAGATAAACCCAAAGAGATCCATGCCAAGACACATTATAATCAAAATATCAAAAGTTAAGGAGAGAATCGTAAAGGAGTAAGAGAAAAACAACTTGATATGCACAAGGAAACCCCAAAAAGACTATTAGCAGCTTTTTCAGCAGAAACTTTGTAGGCCAGAAGGGAGTAGCATGATATGTTCAAATAACTAAAATGGAAAAAAAAAAAAACCCCTGCCAACTAAGAATACTCTAGCAAATTTGACCTTCAGAATTGAAGGAGAGAGAAAGAGTATTCCAGACAAGCAAAAGCTAAAGGAGTTAATCATCACTAGGCAATCCTTGCAAGAAATGTTAAAGGGAATTTTTTAAACTGAAATAAAAAAGCACTAATTAGTAACAGGAAAACATGAAAGTATAAATCTCACAGGTAAAGGTAAATATATAGTAAAATTCAGAGTAATCTACTGTTGAAAGGATGATGGTTTAATCACTTGTAAAGCTAGTCTGAAGGTTAAAAGATAAAGTAGTAAAAATAAGTAAAACTATAATAATTTGTTAATGGACACTCAAGCTAAAATGATGTAAATGGTGACATCAAAAACAAAATATTGGGGAGGAGAGTAGATATGTAGAGCTTTAGAATGCATTCAAATTTAAGTTGTTATCAACTCAAAACAGATTGTTTTAGATATAAGTTGTTTTATGTAAGCCTCATGGTAACCACAATGCAAAAACCTATAGCAGATACACAAAAGATACAGATAAAGGAATCTAAATAAAGAAAATAATCAAATCACAAATAAGGGCAAGAAAGCAACAAGAGAATTGCAAAACAGAGAAATCAATTAACAAAATGGGAATTAGTACATACCAATCAATATTTACTTTAAATGTAAATTGACTAAATTCTCCAATCATAAGACATAGGGTAGCTGAATGGATAATAAAACAAAGACCCATTTACATGCTGTCTAAAAGAGACTTATTTCAGATGAAATGACAGAGACTGAAAGTGAAGGGATGGAAAAAAAATTTCCATGTAAACGATAACCAAAAGAAAGTTGCAGTAACTATACTTACATGAGACAAAATAGACATTAAGACAAAATGTATAAAAAAAATCATTATATAATAATAGGCCAATCCAACAAGAGGATATAATATTTGTTACGTATTTATGGACCCAGCATAGGAGCACCTAAATATATAAAGCAAATATTAACAGACCTAAAGAGACAGATAGAACAATACAATAATAGTAGGAAACTTTAATACACAACTTTCATCAAGGGATAGGTTATATAAGACAAAAGATCAGTCAGGAAACACTGGCCTTCAAGATGTCAGAGCAGATTGACTTAAAAGTTATAACAGGAACATTCCATCCAAAAACAACATAATACACATTTCTTCTTAAGTACACATAGAACGTTCTTCAGAATAGATCACGTTAGGCCACAAAACAAAGCTTAATAAGCTTAAGAAGATTGAAATCATATCAAGCATCTTTTTCTGACCACAGTGGTATAAAACAAATTATAAGAAAAAAACTGGAAAATTCACAAATATGTGGAGATTAAACATACTACTAAATAACCAATGGGTCAAAGAAGAAATCAAGAACAATACTTTGAGACCAATGAAAATGGAAAGATAACATACCAAAATTTGTAGAATATAGCAAAAGCAAATCTAAAAGTTCCTATTGATAAAATGTACATCGAGAAATAAGAGATCAAATAAACAACCTAACTTTTTACCTCGCAGATCTAGAAAAAGAACAACAAAGTCATAGTTTGCAGAAGAAAGGAAATAGCAAATATCAGAATAGAAATATATGAAATTGAAACTAAAATGATACTAGAAAAGATCAATGAAATGAAGGGCTTTTTTTTTTTTAAAGATGAACATTTACAAACCTTTAGCTAGAGTCACCAAGAAAGAAAGAAGACTCAAATAAGTAAAATCAGACATAAAAAGGAAACTTCACAACTGATAACACAGAAACACAAAGGATCATAAGAGACTACTAAGAACAGTTATGGGACAACCTAGAAATAAATTCCTAGAAACTAATAAATGAGACAACATAGAAGAAATAAATTCTTAAAAACATGCCACCTACCAAGACTGACTCATGAAAAAATGTAATCAATCTATTCAGATTTTCTTAGTAAGGAGATTGAATCGGCTATCAAACACCTCCCAACAAATAAAAGCCTAAGACCATATGACTTCATGGGTCAACTCTACCAAACATTTAAAGAATATAAATCATTCTCAAACTCTTCCAGAAAAAAGAGAAAGAAACACTTCCAAACTCATTTCATGAGGTCGGCATTACCCTAACACCAAACCATACAAAGATGTCACAAGAAAAAAATACAGGCTAATATCCCCAATGAACATAGATGTAAAAATTCTCTACAAAATATTAGCAAGTCAAATTAGACAATACATTAAACGGATCATACACAATTATCAAGTGAATATTATTCCAGAAATACAAGTATTATTCAACATTTGCAAATCAATGTGGTACACATTAACAAAATGAAGGCTAAAAATCATAAGATTATCTCAACAGATTCAGAAAAACATCAGCAAAATACAACATCCATTTATGATAAATCTTAAAGTAGATATAAAGGGAACATACCTAAACATAATAAGGGCCATATATAACAAGTCTACAGCTAATATCATACTCAATGGTGAAAAGCTGAAAGTTTTTTTCTAATATCAGTAACAAAACAAGGAATCCCTCACTTGCCACTTTTATATAATATTGGAAATCCTAGCAAGAGAAACTAGGCGCACACGCACACACACACGCACACACCAAAAACAAATATGATAAAATAAATTCTAATTCTATCAAAACACTGTTAGAACTAGTAAAAAATTTCAGTAAATTTGCAGGATACAAAAATCTATAATGAAATCTCTTACAATCTACACACTAACGATAAACTATTAGAGAGAGAAATTAAGAAAACAATTCTATTTATAACTGCATCAAAAAGAATAAAATACTTAGAAATAAATTTAATCAAGGAAAATAAATTCTAATTCTATCAAAACACTGTTAGAACTAGTAAAAAATTTCAGTAAATTTGCAGGATACAAAAATCTATAATGAAATCTCTTACAATCTACACACTAACGATAAACTATTAGAGAGAGAAATTAAGAAAACAATTCTATTTATAACTGCATCAAAAAGAATAAAATACTTAGAAATAAATTTAATCAAGGAGGTGAAAGACCTACACACTGAAAACGATAAGATGTTGACAAAAGGAACAAATGGAAGGCTATTCTGTACTCATGGATTGGAAGAATTAATATTGTTAAATGTACATACTAACCAAAGCAATCTAGATTCAATCTAATCCTTATCAAAATTCCCTGGCATTTTTCACAGAAATAGAACAAACAATTCTAAAATGTGTATGGAACCAAAAAAGACCCCAAATAGCCAAAGCAACTTATTGTTCTGAGAAAGAACAACAATGTGGAAGGTATCACACTTTCTGATGTTAAAGGATATTACAAAGCTATAGTCATGAAAATAGTATGGTTTTGGCATAAAAACAGAGACATAGGTCAATAGAACAGAATAGAGAGCTAAGGAATAAACCCACCCATGTATGGTCAATTAATTTATGACAAAGGAGCCAAGAATTTACAATGGGGAAAGAACAGTCTCTTCAATAAATGATGTTAGGAAAACTGAACAGCCACATGCAGAGTTAAAGTGGACCACTATCTTACACCAGATATAAAATTTAACTCCAAATGGATTAAGAGTAGACCCAAAATGATGAAACTCCTTGAAAGTAAGACCCAAAACCATTAAATTCCTTGAAGAAAATATAGGCTATACAGTCCTTTACATATATCTTGATTATAATTTTTAATCTGACATCAAAAGCAAAGAATAGCTAAAAGTTTTTGCAGAGCAAAGGAAACCACCACCAACATGAAAAGGTAACCTACTGAAAGAAAATATTTACAGACCATACATCTGATCAGGGGTTAATATCCAAATAATATATATACAAACTCAATAACAAATTAAATCTAATTAAAAAGCAGTCAAAAAATAGGTAAAGACACTGTTCCAAAGAAGATGTACAGATGGCCAATAGTGAAAAGGCACCAACATCACTATTTATCAGGGGCATGCAAATCAAAACTACAGTGAGCTACCACCTCACACCTGTCAGAATGGCTGTTATCAAAAAGATAGGATATAGCAAGAGTTTATGAAGACATGGAAAAAAGAGAATTTGTGTGCACCTCTGGTGAGAATGTTAATGGGTACAGCCACTCCCCAAAAAAGTTGAGGTTTTATAAAAAATTAAAAATAGAATTACCGTATGATTTAGCACTCTACCTCTGGGTATTTATTCAAAGGAAACAAATACACTAACTCAAAAATTTGTCTGCATATCTATGTTTATTGCAGCATTATTTATAATAGCCAAGACAAGGAAGCAACGTAAGTGTTCATCAATCAATGAATCGATAAATATAATGTGCTATATGTAATCAGTAAATTATTATTCAGCCTTATAAAGAAGGAAATCTTGCCATTAGCACCAACACGATGGACTAGGAGCACATGATGGTAAGTAAACTAAGCCAGAGAATATAAATGCTGTATGATCTCACTTATATCTAAACACCAAACCAATAAAAACAGAAAACGTGAGGTTGCCAGAGGAAATGACTGGGGATGGGAAAAATGGGTGATGAGGTTCAAAAGGTACAAACTTCCAAAATAAATGTCATGGGGATATATAGCATGGTAATATATAGCATGGTGACTATAGTTGATAATACTGTATTGTATATTTGTAAATTGCTAAGGGAGTATATCTTAAAAGTTCTCATCAGAAAAATAACTATTGAAAAATGTTAAATAGACTTATTGTGGTCATCATATCATAAGATATACAAATATCAAATCATTATGTTGTATACCTGAAACGAATAAGTTATATGTCAATTAGATCTCAAAATAGTTTTGAGTCTTGGAAATTGGATTTTTTAAAAATATGCAATTTATATAAATGTAACTCCTAAGCCTGTTATAGCTCATTTAATTTTATCACAAACTCATGTGCATCATTTCAGCAGATGTATTAAGCAGTTATATATCTCCACTTGAATGATACCATGTCTGAAATCAAAACTGAATCTGAATTTAAAAGATAAATGCAAAGTTATTACTATCAGAAGTAGCTGACAGAATTACTTATTTCCAATGGAGTTATAAAGGGAGGTTAGTTTATTGAACAGGTTTGAGGTCATGTTCTTTTGATACAGAGCCTGAGAGAATTCATATTTTTTTGAGGGAGTGTTCACATAAAATCTGCAAGAGGAAATAAATTGAAATAGGGAAGGTGAACTAGAGCAAAACCGGCAGTAATCTGTGGGGTGAAGCAGCTGCTGTCAGCTGAGGACAGTTCCCCAGAGAAGGGGGACAGCTATAAGCTTTTGATAGTCACACGGCGGGTGCTGGATGCATATGCTGGCTTGGAAAGGGCATGTGGGATGGAGACCACACATCTACTGCAATGTGGAAGAAGAAACTACAATTAGCATAATTCACAAGAATCCTAACAGTTGCTGTCCTCTGGCCCAATGTAAGAACTAAGCTGATGAAAATGGTTGTTGAAAGGGTGAGTCTGAATGATTATCTTTGTACTACGGGATCATCAAACTATAGATGACTTCAGGACCAGGACAAGGCGCCAAACAAAGGGCAGTCGGATCCATATATTGGCCAAGGAGCTATGACAAAACCAAATTTAAAATATGACCTGGAACAATCGGCTTTCTTAGTTTGAATTTCTGATATAGGCAGTATTGGGAGCAGAATTTGAAAAATCAGGTCGTGATGGTATATTATACAGGCTAAAGTTGTGAGAGAAGCAGAGCTATAAATAAGCAATGGCTGTGAGGTAGAGAAAAGGCATATAGAGAGTAGAGACTGAGGAAACCTAGTTGCCGGAGAAATGCAGAGTGGGAGACAAATCAGCAACTCAAAGCGTCGCTGAGTCACACTGGTAGAGCTCCAGAGCAAAGAACTGCAAGTCCTGATGTTACTTTTATCAGATTGGGAAAGATTTTACAAAACATGATCAGGAGACACTAGGCTGAATACAAATGGCACCCTGGAGGGGGTGAATACTGTTTGCCTAACCTTGTTTTGCCAAACACTGAAATGCATCTGATATGCCCCAAAGTGGAATTATTCTGCATAAGAGAGACTAGAGAAGTCTGGAGGCCAAGGTGCTGCCAGGAGGAAAATGGTAAAGATGGCGACTTTAGGATACAGATGCCTGAGCAGAATTTTAAAGTTGTTAATAGTGAAGTGTGTGATGTACAACGATTTATAGTGGTGTTTTTTTTGTTTGTTTTTTTTTTAGGAAGTGTGATTCAACTATGGGGATGAGGAATCAGTTGACATTTAGACTACCCAATATTACTTGGTAAGTGTCCCGAGAGAGGTGTACAGAGAATTCCAACTGAACTCACAGGAAGAATACTTGCCAGTCATGAAGGATTTCTAGAGGAGCAGAAGCCAGAGAGAGGCTCAAAGATTGGACGTGGCTGGCCTGGTGAAGAGGAGAGGCATGCGAGTCATTGTTCTAGACAATAATAAGAAATATAGGACTCAATTATTTATACAGGTCCTAATCACTTTGATTCAGTGTCCCTTTATAGTGTTCTTCCTGAATATAAGATATTGGGCATTCTGATCTCCAGGTAGAAAAAAGAGCTTGGGTGGCCTGGGCCAGAGTTTAGAAAGGGGAGTCATTTCTACTGTGCTATGAGGTATCTGAAACAGTGATAAGGTAAGGAGGCTGGAATATGGTTAGCTTATCATAATTCACCCCCTTTCCCCCATGAGAATATTCTATAAGAGGTATTAAATATACAAATTTTTAAGTCAAACAGAATGGAAAACTCCTCAGGAACTGTTAGATCTTCCTTATCATTTAAATTATGAACTGTTTGAACCAAAAGAAAAAAAACAAAACGTGTGCTTGTGTGTGTGTAAACATACCCATAGATCCAGTTTTATAAGGTTAAGGAAAACTTAGACATACTTTGTGGTTTCTGCACTTGCCATTTGCATTTAAGGTTTGGTTAGTTGATTTCCTGAACATGCCATTAAAATTGATCTCATGATATAATGAAACAGCTACAAAATATACAATAAAATGAAATAATAAAACAATAACAAAAAAGATGGGGTGGTTAGATTGAGAACAAGTTCATAGCATAATGAGCCCTTATTGTGTGTGATGGTGGTGTTAGTGTGCAAGTATGAGTGTATTTGTGAGTGTCTAATTTTATGATAAGGGAACATTTAATATTAATTCAGCAGAAACATTTCAGTAATCAGTGACCTACCTAGCTATGAAATTCTTGAGTTTCTTTTGGAAACACTGTATAAAGCTACTACAGATCTTTCCTCCACCTACCTTCTGGAGAATATCTAAGAGATAATTTCACAGCTTTTGGTGCTTCTAATGCTAATATCAGACACTTGGAGCCTTTTAATTTAGGATGTAATCTTTTCTCTGTTCCCACTGAGTGTTATAAAAAATAAAATACAGCCACTACAAGAAAAAGCATTAATCGGATTAGTTCAGGGTCAGAACTTAAGTGAATGCTCTAAAAATCAAAACTGTGTGCCCTAATGTGATACCATGTACTTATAAACAGGGCTTATGCCATCAACCACTTGCAAAATCTTGCCAATATTATTATTGCCATAAAAATCGGAGAATTGATTAGTGGGTTACTTAAAATTGTAATCTCAGCCTTTGGAGGACTTACTTAAATCAAATTTAAGAAGAGTTATTTAATATTTGTTTTAACAGAAGTTTACTTAGAAATTTAAGATTAGAAAATAGTTTCGGATAGTGCTGTTGAAACCAAAAAGAAGTTGGCTATGTGCCTTTTTCCCAAGGTGGTCATATTTCCCTTAAGGCCAATTTGTCATTGATCAAATATCTGTCCAAAACCATTCATGTGTGTTTTGAGAACCTACACTCAATCACACTCTCTGTTTGGATAGGCAACTATTGTTTCCTATGTAAAGACGAATGATGATAGGTGAATATAATAATTTTAGTTTTAACTTTAATGTATATTTTTCTGAAACTGAAAAAAAATACCAAGATGGTGTTTTGTGCTTTTGCCTTATTTCACAATTAAGTTCTTTTTAGCAACTCAGAAAAGGAAACAATCAAAGGGTATTTAAAAGTCTTACGAGTTGTTTTTTTTTGATGTCGTGCTAATGGCAATTTCTTATGGAATTGTTTGAATATACTGCCAATGATAGAACTGGATGTTTATAAAAATAAATTATTGAAGATTTTTTCAATTTGAAACATTTTTTTTGTTTTGTTTTTGAGGTACCAAAACCATGATGCTATTCTACTATTTGAAGGTCTCACGTGTTCTACTTTTTATCTCCCAGCTCTTCCCTTCCCTACTCTAGCCATAGAATACATAAAGTATATAAAGTATATACATGAATTGGAATTTTTAGCCTTTGCCAATATAGGATAAATAATAACTTTAAATTGAGATCTCTAGAAAAAGATATATACCATAGGTAAAGCTTTTCACTTAATCATTCTCTCAATTATTCACTAAATGTTAATTGAACAAACATCTGTTGTCAGGCACATTTTACATTGCACTATAATTAGTTTTATGATCTATCTCTTATCAGACTGAGAATTTTTACCTCAGTGGCTAGGATAATGGCTAACATTTAGTACATTTTATATAGCTACTTGACAAGCAAGTAAATGAATGTTAAGATTCAATAATGATTTTAAAAAAGAAAAGAAAAAGAAAAAAAGACACCTAACATTTATTTAGCCTGTAGTATATATTGGATTTGTTGTGAACCACTTCATTTATGTTTATTTTATTCAACTCTTACATTAAACCTTTAAGGAAGTATGAAAATAAATAGAATCAGGGAAATGTAGTGATTTGCTCAAAGTCAGTGAGCTGGTAAGTTGGAAGTGGAAGCTGAACTCACGTTTGTATGATCCCAGAGTCCATGTGCTTAGATTGCACTCGCTGGCCACCACGCAGAAACTCTTCTCTCTACAGGTTAAATGAGAAAAAAAATTTTCTTATCACTCTATTACGTTAAAAGAAAATTTAGTAAGTCTCAAAATAGATTCTATTGAGTATTTCTTTTAATGAAGTAGAGACTACTATGATTTCTGTAAAATTGGGATGGAGGACTGCAATAGTTATTGTTAAATGTTGCTGTAAAAATGCTACACAATCAAAAAAGGTAAATTTTAATAGTAAATATAGAAAATATATATATATTTTGTAATTGATATTTTTGGATACCTAGAAGCATCAAAAGGTGGATACTTAGAAACATCAAAAGGCTCAACTAAAATTTAAGTAAATTTATTTAAGTGGCAAGATGAATGATACACAAAAAAGCAATGACTTTTAAATAAAAATTCATTCAATAAATATCAATGTGAAGTTACTATTCTAAATTATAGGGATACAACAGGGAACAAGAGACAAAAATCCTGCTCCTGCTCTCATTGACCTTACATTCTTAAGGGAGGAAATAATGATATTTATTCTAGGAATTAGTGCATATATAGTGCTTGTGGCCAGATACTCATTTTTCCAAGTGCTTCTCTGTCTGTCTCACACAGACATACAAACACAGACACACACAAACTTGTTTAAACCACATGACTTAACAGCTCTATGATATATGTTCTATTATATTCCTATTATACAGATATGGAAAATGAATCATAAAAAGGTAAGAAACCAGGGTCACAACAGTGTGTAGCGGAGACAAGTTTCAAATCTAGGCAGTTTATGCCCCTATGTCAGGTCTGATAAGTGCTATAAAGGAAAAGTAAATGATAATAGAAGATAGAGTGGCAGGAGTGCTATTTTATTTAGAGTATTGAACAAAGGCCTTGGGATGAGATGAAATTGAAAAGAGACCTGACTGAAGTAACAATTTATTCATGATGTTATCTTGGGATTAAAAGAATTCCAAGCAGCAAAAACAGTAGATGCAAAAGGCCTGTGGTTGGTGGATACTTGATATGTATTAAGAATACTGAGGAATTCAGTGTAATCAGAGTAATGCAAGCAAAGGAGAGAATGGAAAAATCGAGAGTGGTCATAGAGTTAGGCTATGGGCCATAGTATGGGATCTGTAGACCAGTATGGATGTTGGATTATTCTGTTAGAGATAGGAAACCATTAGGAGAATTTGAGCATGTATCTGGCATAATATTACATTTTTAAAATGCTCATTATAATGACTTTATAAATATTAGACCATAGACTTGCAGGATTGAAAGCAGAGATTACATAAGAAGATTTACAATTGTCCAGGAAGAAGAGCACTTGGACCAGGTGTTAAGAAGTGGGTAGTTTTTAGATGAATTTTGAAAGTACCACTAAAGAGATTTATTGAAGATTAGCGTGTTGGAAAGGAAGAGGAAAGATAATTACACAGTTTTGGGCCTATGTAATTGGATGAGTAGTTGCTGTTTACTTAGAAAGGGAATACTGGGGGGAAAACCACATTGGGAGTAAGGAAAATTCAGGAATTTTATTGTTTTATTTTATTTCAAATTTTAGATGACGATTAAGCATCTAAGTGTAGATGCTGAGTAGGTAGTTGCAATATGAGTCTGGAGACTGAGACTATAGCTACACATTTAAGAAGCATCAGGACATAAACAATTTTAAAACTGAGGGCCTGAATGAGTTCCATTAAGGATGAGTATAGACAGAGAAGAGGTCTGAGAATTGAGTTATAAGACATTCTGACATTTAGAAGTTGAGGCAATGAAGATGGTTTAGAAAGGATCTTGGGGGAAAATGGCCAATGAAGTAGAAGGAGACTTAATTGCCTTGTGTCCCAAAAGCCAAGAAAAAAGTTTTTCAGCAGAGTTATCAACATTGTGAAATGCTGCCAGTGGATTAGATAGAATGGGGGCTAATGACTGGATATATTTATGAGAAAGTTACTTATGACCTTGTCAAGAGCAGTTTTGGTGCAGTGTTGGCAATAACCCATTTGAAATGGGTCTAAAAGAGAATGGGAAGAGAAGAGATGGAGAGAGTAGGTATAGTAAACTGAATTTTGCTGTAAAGATGATAATTTATGGAAACGTAAGATTAAGGGAGAAGTTATATCAATATTAGAGATATTATAACTTGTGTGCATGTTCATGAGAGGGATTCAGTACAGAGGAAAAATTTATGATGTAGGAGAAAGAGGACCATTTGCTGGAGTGAGGTTCTTCAGTGAACAACAAATATGAGGTCCAGTGTACAAGTAGAGCATTTAATTCCATAAGAAAGTATATATATTTTAGCCATTATAATAGGAGAGGTGCATAATATATGAATTAAAATGTAGAGGGTTGAAAGATTTGGAGATGGGATGATGTAGAAGTTCCCTCTTGATTGTTTCCATTTCTACATGAAATAAGGAGCAGAATCATTTACTGAGAATGAAGAAGAGAACTGTGTCCTGACCAATGTGACAGAATTTTGAGATGAGACCTTTTGGAGAAAATCTGGCTTAGATCAGGTCATGATGATAGTGCCTTCATCATGGGATTAGTACTCTTTATAAGAAGAAATACCAGGATGGTGGGTTAAAGATAGAAGTAAAGGAAGATCCTGAACTTGCCTTGTATGGACACACCAAAACTATAACTGAAAAGGACCTGAAAACTAGCAGAAAGCTACTCCATGCGAAGGATGGAAAGAAAAAGCCACAACAAAATGAGCAGGGGGGCAGAGAATAGTCTTGTCAGGATCCACACCCTCAATTCAGTGACCCAAAAGTGGGAGGAATATCACAAATGTGCACTTCTCTCTGAGGAGCAAGACATTCATGCCCCACATCAGGCATCATAGCCCTGGGCACCTGCACCAGGACAACAAGTTCCCCAAAACATTTATCTTTTAAAACTAGTGAGTTTTATGACCAGAAAAACCAAAGGGCTATAGGAAACTAGGACTCCACTCGTAAAGGTCCCATGCACAGACTCATTCACTCCAAGTCCCACTGTTGAGGCCATATGTGAAGGAGAGTTCATTAACTAATCTTAAGGCATGGGTCAGATAGGCAAAGTTATATTAGAATTATCTCCAGGGATGAAAGCACTGGTGAGCACCTTTTTTTTCCTTTACTCTCTTTCTGTCCTGCAGCCTAGCACTGGTAGGTGCCATTTTAGGCACTCCAATCTACCCTGCTAACACTGCTAGTCGCATGCCAGTGTTCCCCTGCAGCCCTGGCCCAGGGCTCCTCCAAGATGGCCATCGCCATACCAGAAACTGAGTATGCACATTCCGCACAGGGGACACTGCTTGAATGTCTGGCACTGGTAATTAGGATGGCCTGTATTTCTGGTCCACATGGGACAGTTTTTGACAGGCTACCACCCCCAGGGCCCTACACAGACAGCAGACTGAAACGTACCCCCAGTACTCCAGTGACCACTCCCTTCAAGATGGGGAGAGATAGCTGTTTTGCCTAATACAGAGACACAGAGAGTCAAGGAAAATGAGAGCATGAAATATGTTTCAAACAAACAAAAACCCCAGAAAAAGAACCTCTAATGAAAAAGAGATAAGTAATGTACCTGATAAAGAATTCAAGGCAGTGATTATAAAGATGCAATACCAGGACAGAATAGATGCAATACCAGGACAGAATAGATGAACACATAGAGAATTTTAAGAGATAGAAAATATAAAATAATTCCAAACAAAAGTCATAGAGCTGAAGAACACAATAATTGATCTGAACACACACACACACACACACACACACACACACACACACACACACACACACACAGAGGAGGGTTTCAAAAACAGACTGTATGAAACAGAAGAATGTATCAGTGAGCTGGGAACAAAGCATTGGAACTTATACAAACAGAACAGCAAAAATAATCGCAAGAAGTGAAGATGGCTTAAAGGACCTATGGGACAACATCAAATTGAATAATATTGGCATTATCAGGGTCCCAGAAGGAGAATGAGAGGAAGAGTCAGAAAAAATATTTGAAGAAATAATTGCTGAAAACTTCCCTAATCTGGGGAAGAAACAGACATCTGGGTACAGGGAGTCCAGAAAGTTCCAAACAAGATGAACCCAAAGAGATCCATACCAAGACATATTACAATGAAATGTCAAAGGTTAATGATAAAGAGAAAATCTTAAAAGGAGCAAGGGAACGAAATAAAAGGAGGGCGGTATTTATAACAATGTAGAGCTTTGGATTGTACGCAAATTTAAATTGTTATTAACTTAGAATAGACTGTTATATACATAGAATATTATATG